CTTCTGGTTAGCAGTCAAGTGCCTCAGGCACTATGCTACCAGAGCTCCTCACAATGTATTTACCATGAATTAAAAAAAAATAAAGTCTGCTGTGAAAGGCTGGCTTTCTGTACGTAGTTTGAACATTGGTTTTGCTTCTTAGATCTAAGTAGAAGTATTCTTGTAACTGTACTCAAACTTACTAGATGGAAGATTGGGTAATCTACTTCTGTAGAGATACAGCCTTGGAAACCCAAGGAGGAGTTGCTATGAGTGAAATCGACTCAACAGCAATAAGTTTGTTTTTTTGGCTTTTATATGTGCTTACCAAATTTGTAATTTTTAGAGAGTCTCAAGGAATTTCAAACAGAGATGGCTTCACTGTCATTTGTTTATTAGTATTTAATGTTTATTTTAAGCAGATGTTTCCACATCTTAATTGCGAAGTGCAACAAGTCAGAATGTTGAGTCACTCTTGGAAACTGAGCTCTTTAAATTTTGGGGAAAATATAAGAAACTTGTCATATGTATCTAAATCGCAGGTAATTGTAAAAGCTAGTGATGAGATCAGGTCATTGTAAAACTAATGACAAAATACATGTTTTCATTTTTAGAATCACGCAGTCTGGTTCTATAGCAGTTCTTTTCATCGAAAATACCATTTAAAAACTTCATATTTGTAATACATTTTTATCTATTGTCGTGATATTTGAAGTAACAAATTAAAACCTGTTTGAGTCTTCATTAATGTTTTGATAGGGAAATGTAAGAATTTTTGCATATTTTATTTTATTTGTCATCATAGTGACTCAAACATGAAGGTCCCTGCAGTCCCCCAGATCTCACATGGATAATTCCCCTCAAATTTTTGTCTTCCCTCTTAGTGGGCACTTTGTTCCTGAGAACAGTCTTTTTTTTTTTTAATTATTTTTTAGAGAAGTTTTAGGTTTACAGAGAAATTGGGCAGAAAGTACAGTTTCCTTATATGCCCCCCCATCCATAATAAACAAAAATCCCACAGCCATGGGATCAAT